AAGAAGGGTCTAGGCCCAAAACGTCAGCTTTCCTGCTCCTCTGATGCTGCTTGGCCTGCTGTGTTCATCCAGCTCTACACCTTGTTATCTCATATACATGTGAGATTTCCTTTAATCAGCAACATTAGAGGTTGCAACAGCAACCCCTGACAACTCTGAATGTCAAGGAATCAGCTCTCCCTTTCCCCCTTCCCTATCCTTTCCCCCTGTCAAAGCAAGAATCTGTAACTCAATGTGAAGGAAACAATAAATAATCAACAGGGCTTCGCTTTAATAGGCAGTGAATCAGAAGGTCAAAGAGATACTAAGTTATGAATATATTGTAGGAGTCTCTGCTGAGCTGAAGTCAAAGGTCTTTGGTACAAACCTTCATTGAAAGGAGTATCTCTAGAAAGTTTTAGTTATAGCAGATATTTAAACAGCAGTTTCTGGAGTCAGTGTCCCCTTTTGACCACATTTTGTCTCTTTTGTGAACGTTTCTATAAAAGTCTTTGCACCTTACTGTAATCACATTTGTACATCTCGTCTCTGGTGTACATTTGTCCCATTCACACCAATGACACATCCAGGGTGAAAATATAATTTGAATGCTACGAACTTGGTTAAAGTCGACAATTTTTGTAACATTGTTGACTGTTAACCCTTTAGTTCTCTCAGCAGAAGGAATAGTCTTAGGGTGACACTTAATGTAGCCTCGATTGTCAGAGATGCCATCCTTTGTATGTGTTGCTTGATCAGGTGTATGAGTCGTTATTACATGGAATCTGCAACCCTGAATCAAAGATTCCCTACAGTGTGGAAGCAGGCCATTCAGCCCATAAAGTTCACACCAACCCTCCAAACAACATCCCACCTGGACTTATCCCCCAAACCTTATCCCTGTAACCCTGCATTTCCAATGGCTAATCGACCTAGCCTACACATCCCTGGACACTGTGGAGCAATTTAGCAGGCCAATCCACCCTAACCCGCATATCTTTGGATTGTGGTAGGAAACTGGAGCACCCGGAGGAAATCCACGCAGAAATGGGGAGAACGTGCAAACTCCACACAGTCACTGGAGGGTGGAATCAAACCCAGGCCTCTGGCGCCGGGAGGCAGCAGTGCTAACCACTGAGCCACCGGGCTGCCCCCTGAAGGAAAGGCAATATATTTTGTTTCAGTCCTAGGGGAATTCAGCCCAACAAACTGCACAGTCCATACTAGCCTCCTCTCACCTTGCTTCATCTCACTATCAATGTATTGATCTATTCCTTTGTCCCACCTTCACTTATCCAGGCTGCTCTTACCAGATCCAATTGACAGTGCAGCCAGGAAAGGTATCAATGGCCACAATTCTCCGTCAATCAATATCAACAAAGAGAAAATATACCTGCTTTTAAAGAATCATTCATCTCGACTCTGCTTCAAGCTGCTGTCTGCCATATTTAGTTACAGAATGACAGTCACCACATTTCAAAAATAATTGTGTTAAACACTGAGAAGTACAATGAAGCGCAAATGAAAGTTAAAGAACAAAGTGTTGGAGAAACTCAGCCGGTCTGGCAGCATCTGAGGACAGAGAAACAGAGTTAAAGTTAAAGCTAAACAACTCTTCTTCAGGCCTCAATGAAGGGAAGGATCTGTATCAAGCTCTCTACACTCCACTGAAAGTCACTTTGACCAGCTCAACAAAAAAAGACATTTTGAAGACTGAATTGATAGAAGGTGGCTTTGGAGACAAAGTAGGAAAAGAATCAGAGCTTTAATTCGTATAAAAATATGCTTCCATCGGTTTATCGTGAACAAGTTACAAAATCTGTATTGTTTAAGATTGGCAACATGCACTAAAAAGTTGAGTGATGATCAAACTCATAAATGCTACTTGTTGGGGAGGAATTAAGAGCCACGTAATAGTTACTCCTTTTCAATTACCAGCACCAAGATCAGACTAACTGCTCAGCTGCATCCATTGCTTGTTCGCATAAGCTGGTTTTCAACAGTGTCCCCATAACAAGGTGATGCTGAACCTAGAACCATTATTGCCCATCTCTGTAGAGTCCAGACAGAAGGCTCGGCCTATTTCAGGTAGGGCATTGGCAGGAAGAGAAACTTGATGAATTTCTTTGCATACTCCCAAAGGTGTTGGCCCTGTGGCATAAGAGTGGGGGTAGAGCCTTGGCAGTCTGCCCCTCATAGTCCTGGTTGATATAATGTACCTTACGAGCTGGCTTGACCCATTTCAACTCAGTGAGCTTGGAGGTTTAGTAAGAGGCTGCCCACTACATTGATGGGTAAATCCTCAACTGAGAAAGGTGCTTGTTGGTATTAGTGACTCAGGAAATGTTTACTGCGAGGGAAAGTCTCAGAATACTGACATAAGCAGCATAAAGTGGAAAATAAAACCTTATTCTGGCATGACACATTCATATTTCAATGTTAAAATACTTTGCTCAATTTCTAGTTTCACAGTGTCCTGTCTTGAAATGTCCCAATATTTGCCAGTTATCATCAACATAATTGGGAATTATTTTATACAGCTGAAAGGACTAATATATATTATATATGAAATTTCTACTCAGAATATACATTCCCCTAGCATTCCAAACTGCAATCTTCCTGTTGCTAGGCCTCCCACTGTTTTAGCTTGCGAAAAAGGTCAAAAGATGAAGCAGCAGGTTTTGGCTGTGGTCGCACCTTTAAGACTGGCAGGCCCTCCACAGAGAGGTAAGGAGTCTCGGTTAACAGTTCCAGGGGATCATAGAACATCATCAGATTGGGAGCTTCCATCTCAGTAACCTGCTGCAAGAGCAAAGATAAATTAACACCTCTACAGTTCCCTCGCTTGCTGCTCTTAAGGCCTTGGGGTGGAAACCATCAGTACCTGAAGGCTTAACCCGTTTTAAATACCAATTTTCTCCCCATTACTGTTTTTTTAAATTTGTTAACAAGTTCCTCCCTGTAATGTGTTTTCAGTTTTCCTTCTTTCACTGGTATCTTATCTAATCTTGTAGTCCAGAAACTGAACTGGGCCAGCTGTTTAAATACAAGAACAGGTCAAAGGCTCGGGGGGTTCTACAGCCAGTAACTCCATCTCCTGACTCCCCAGAGCTTGTCCAACACCTACAAGGCACAAGTCAGGAGTGTGATGAAATGCTCTCCCCATGCGGTGCCACCCAGGTTAAACCACCACCAGCCTTATGGTCCAGTAGTACTACGGTGATACTCAGTGTGTGCGACCTACAAGATGCACTTCAGCAACTCATCAAAGCAGCACCTTCGACCATCTAGAAGGAGAAGGGTAGCAGATACATGGGAACACCACCAAGTTCCCCTCTAAGTCAAACATCATCCTGACTTGGAAATGTATCGCCGTTCCTTCAGTGACACTGGGTCAAAACCCTGGAACTCTCTCACTAACAGCACTATACCACACAGACTGCAGTAGCTCAAAATGGTGGCTCACCACCAGCTTCTCAAGGGGCTATTACGAATGGGCAATACATACTGACCAGCCAGCGATGTCCATGTCTCATGAATGAATTTTGAAAAAATGTAATTTACTGATAGGTTGGCTTTTGTTTTTCTCTTATGTCAAATATCACCTAATTTCTTTCTCGCTATCTGACTGCACTTCAAAAGTACAAAATTGGCTGCGAAGTGTTATGGAATATCTGGAGATGGGAAAGGCACTATGGTATATAAATGCAAATCCTTCTTTTCACATTGTTCATGCTATTATTTTCTCATTTTCCTCCTTTGTAGCTTTTAATTGGTACCCTTGAATTCCTTTTGGTTGGTTTCTACATTTCTCCGAATCCCCTACATTCCTATTTTACATGGCAACTGTGTAGGTCACTTCCTTTAGTTTCATGTACCTCACTACTTCAGGTGTTGGCCACAGTTAGAGTCAGAGAGGGAATCGTAGAATCATACAGTCATACAGCATGGAAATAGACCCTTAGGTCCAACCTGTCCATGCTGACCAAGTTTCCAAAACTAAACGAGTCCCATTTGCCTGCATTTGGCCCACATCCCTCCAAACCTTTCCTATTCATGTACTTATCCAAATATTTTTTAAATTTTGTAATTGTACCCGCATCCACCACTTCCTCTGGCAGTTCATTCCACACACGCTGTGTATAAAAGCTGCCCCTCATGTCCTTTTAAAATCTTTCTCCTCTCACCTTAAAATTATGCGCTCTACTTTTGAACTCCCCCACCTTTGGGAAAATACCTTTGTTAATTATCTTATCTGTAACCTTCATGATTTTATAAATTTCAATAAGGTCACCCTTCAACCTTCTGCACTCCAGTGAAAAAAGTCCCAGCCTATCCAGCCTTTCTTTATAACTCAAACCCTCCGGTCCTGGTAACGTCCTTGTACATCTTTCCTGAACCCTCTCCAATTTAATTATATCTTTCCTATAGCAGGGTGACCAGAACTGTACACAATACTCCAAAAGTGGCCTCACCAATGTCCTCTACAACCGCAACACAATGTCTCAACTCCTATACTCAATGTTGCTTGACCAGAACATCTGATCTTTAGGGGAAATAGTTTTACTTAATCTCTCGCGAAATGTGAGAACCGATGGGCAAGGCCAGCAGTTGTTACTCATCCCTGACTGCCCTTGAAAACCAATTAGTTTGCTGAGTTAGCTCAGAGTATGCCAATAGACTGGAGTCATGTGTAGGCCAGACTGGCAGATTTCCTTCCCGAAAAGGACATTAATACACCAAAATGGTTTTTATGACAGTTAATGGCAGTCACCATTACTGAGGCTAGCTTTTAATTCCAGATTTCATAAATGGAATTTAGATTGCCTTGGTGGGATTTGAACTCATGTCGCCCGAAGCATTAGTCTGGGCTTCTAGATTATTAGCCTGGTGACATTACCATGATGCCACCATCTGCCCATCTGAAAGGGCAATTCAGCCAGTCCCACTGCCCTGCCTTTCGTCCGGTAGCCCTGTAATTTTTCTTCTACTGATGATCCAATTCCCCTCGAGAATCCACAACTGAACCTGCCTCCACCCCGACCCAATTCCTTTCAGTTCTAAATCTTGCGGTCTTCTGTGTGATTGCATCAGAATCTTGCAGCAACACTTCCTCACTCTGTCCTGTCTTTGAGGTCCAAACTGTGCGATTTCACATGCCCCACATGTTAAAAAGAGGCCAAGGCAACATTCAGAGAAGGATAGCCGAGAGCCCTGCAGCTGATGATTATCCACCAACACTAAAACAGATAACACTGTCACTATTACTGTGTCTGGGAGTTTACTGTGCATAGTCTGCTGACACAGTTCCTACATCACAACAGTGACTCAACTTTACTTCAATTTCCAACAGCGTGGCCGTGGCAGTCTTAACTGAGGCCTGGTGTGGAGAGTTGGATAATTATCCGGGGAGACAGAATTTGCAAGGTGACAGTGAAAGGCCCTTCCTGACAGCACTCTGGAGGTTCAAGAGGGCTTTTCCACCAACACCTTTACATGGGCAAATAGGGATGGGCAATAAATGTTGGCCTAGCCAGTGACCCCCAGACCCCATGAAATAATTTTTTTAAAAGACAACCACAGGCAGAAACCCAGCATAGCTATGAGGGGCTGAATGGTCACCTTCTGTAATTGTTCCATGACCAGACGTGTGAAACCTCATTCTTGCTTCTGCCACACTGAGCTCATTACCTTCTTGCTCTCTGGCCTAGGTTTGACCAGCAGCATTTTCTCCTGTGCAGCCACGCTCAGCACCTCATCCACAGGCACCTCCAAGCTCACCAGTCCTTTGTAACGTTGCTGGTCCTTCGGAACATTCAGGCCTGCAACAGAATGTGATTCTTGAATGACCCACCAGATGACAGGTTCCAGGATTAATCATAGAATTTCTACGGTGTGGAAAAAGGCCATTCAACCCATCATGTCCATACAGGGTCTCTGAAGGAGCAATTCATATACTTATTTCACCCCAGCTTCTCTCCACGTCCTTCCTCTTTACATCCTCCAATATTTAAAATAGTTAGTTAATGTGCATGGGTGATGTCATTTGATTTATTATTGTCATGTACCTAGGTACAGTGACAAGTTTTGTTTTGCGTGCAGTACAGGTAGATCATACCATACAAAGTGCATTAAGGTAATAGAACAGAGCGAGGAATACAATGTTACGGCTGCAGAGAAGGTGCACAAAGAGTGAGGTCAACATTTAAATTTAAAATTTGAGAGGTCCATTCAGAAGTCTAATAACAGCAGGGAAGAAGCTGTTCTTGAATCTGTTGGTATATGTTTTATATCTTCTGCCTGACTGAAAAGATTGGACGAGAGTATAAGCAGGATGGGAGGAGCCTTGATTATGTCGGCTGCCTTCCCGAGACAGCGAGAAGTATAGATAGAGTCAATGATGGTTAGGTACAGACATAATAGGCTGAAAGGCCTCCTTCCGCACTGGAACAAACCTGAGATTTTGAGGGGATGGGATCTGGTTTGAATTCTCTCATTGAAGCTTCAGTTACCTTCTCACCCACCAGTCCAACGTTTGCACCATTGCTTTCCGTGAATTTGAATTCACTGTGCGTCCTGGCTCCCCGAACATGCACCAATGTATGTTAACCCACCCCTTTGAAGGGTCACAAACTGAAACGTCCCCTTTGTTTCTCTCTCCACAGTCACTGCTAGACACGCTGAGCATTGAGTCATAGAATTATACAGCACGGAAACAGACCCTTTGGTCCAACTTGTCCATGCCAATCAGATATCCTAAATTAATCTAGTCCCATTTGCCAGCTTTTGACCCAAATCCCTCTAAATGCTACCAATTCATGTACCCATCCAGATGCCTTTTAAATGTTGTAATTGTACCAGCCTCCACCACTTCCTCTGGCAGCTCATTCCATACACGCACCACTCTCTGCGTGAAAAATTGCCCTTTAGGTCCCTTTTAAATTTTTCTCCTCTCACCTTAAACCTATGTCCTCTAGTTTTGGACTCCTCTACCCTGGGGAAAAAACCTTGAATATTTGTCCTATCCCTCATGATTTATAAACCTCTGTCAGATCACCTCCTCAGCCTCAGGGAAAGTAGCTCCAGCCTTTTCAGCCTCTCGCTACAGCTCAAACCCTCCAACCCTGGCAACATTCTTGTAAATCTTTTCATCACCTTTTCAAGTTTAACAACATCTTTCCTATAGCAGGGAGACCAGATTGTGCGCAGTATTCCAAAAGTGTCCTAATCAATGTCCTGTACAGCCGCAACATGACCTCCCAACACCTAAATTTACACTAATTTCTGTTTTTAATCAAGAAGTTAACTGCTGTTAAGTAAAGGAAATCTCTAGATTGCTAAGTTCCAAATCTAGGGAAAGGGAAGAAAAAGAAAGTAGATAAATGACCGGCTTTTCCTCCCCATATCTTCCTCTTCTCCTACTCACGCCCTGAAGGACAACAGATCTTTTCTCTGCCCCCGCTCCACCCTCACCCCTCACATTCCTGCAGAAGGGGCTTGACCATGTCCACCTCCATCAGTGCTATTCTTTCCTTCCCCACCCTCCATCATGTGGAAATACCTGTTTTCCCACATCCCAAGACCTCCACTAAACCAGTTTAGATCCTCATGCAGCCGATGGAATAGCACATGGGCAACAAACATTCAGCCCCTTTGGATTGTAACACTACTGGGTCAGATCATAGCCAATCTCTATGATAACCCTGCCTACCCTCCTTGCTTCTCTAATGTGTGATACCCTTGCCCAGTGTTGTCTGACATGATTGCTCCGTGCAGCGAGTTGGCCACAGATTCATCAGGCAGACATCAGGACCCTGCAACAGCCCAGCTGACAGAGGACGCAGTTCCGGATGCTGTCTGACCCTTTTGGCACAGCCACGGATTTGTAAGAAAATCCTGCAGGAAAGAGAACCCTCAGCAATAAATGTCTGCAGCCTTTCACAATTAACACGCAGTAGAGATGCAATCAGCCCCTTTGCAAGAAATGAAAGCGTGTTGAAATGATTACATCACATCTGCATGCTAAATGGAGACTGGTTGCTGTAATTAAAAATATTCTTTGACAGAGTCACAAGGCTGTTGCAAGACTGACCTTGTTACCGGCAGCAAAAGCAATACTCCCCATTTGCCTGGATGAGTGCAGCTCCAACAACACCCGAGAAGCTTGACACCATCCAGGATAAAACAACCCATTCGATTGGCATCACATCCACACCCTCCATCACAGATGCTGAGTAGCAGCAGTGTGTACTATCTACAAGATGCACTGCAGCAACACATCCAGGCGCTTGCAACAGAACCTTCCAAAGCCACAACCTAGAAGGACAAGGGCAGCAGAAACATGGGAACACAAGTTCTTCTTCCCTACAAGTTCTTCTCCAAACCATTCGCCAGCCTGAATTGGGAATATATCACTGTTCCTTCAGTGTCACTGGGTCAGAATCCTGGAACTCCCTCCCTAACAGCACTATGTGGGTGTCCCTACGGCACATCGACTGCAGCAGTTCAAGAAGGCAGCTCAGCTCCATCACCACAGATGGGCAGCAAACCCTGGCCCAGCCCACCGCTGAATACAGCCACAGAGTCATACAGCACAGAAACAGACCCTTCAGTCCAACTCATCAGTGCCTGCACCTGGCCCATATCCCTCTAAACCCTTCCTACTCATGTACCTGTCCAAATGTTTTTTAGATGTTGTAACTGTACCCACATCTACCACTCCTCCTGGCAGTTCGGTCCAGATACAAACCACTCTCTGTGTGAAAACAGTGCCCCTCAGGTCCCGTTTCAATCTTTCTCCTCTCACTTTAAAAAATATGCCCTTTACTTTCCTGCTCCTCTGATGCTGCCTGACCTGCTGTGTTCCTCCATACTGAATTGACTTTGACTCCAGCATCTGCAGTTCTTGCTATCTCCCTTTACTTTTGAACTGCCCCACCTTATGGAAAAGATATTTACTATTCACCTTATCTATGCCCCTCATGGTTTTATAAACCTCTACAAGGTCACCCCTCAACCTCTTATGCTCCAGTGAAACCTAGTCCCAGCCTATCCAGCCTCTCCTTATAACTCTAACTCTCTAGTCCTGGCAACATCCTGGTAGATCTTTTCTGAACCCTCTCCAATTTAATAATATTCTTCCTATAGCAGGGTGACCAGAACTGGACGCAACAGACCAAAAATGCCCTCACCATTATCCTGTACAACTGCAACAGGACATCCCAACTCCTACATTCAATGGTCTGAGCAATGAAGGCAAGTGTGCTAAACGCCTTCTTCACCACCCTGTCTACCTGTGATGCAACTTTCAAGGAACTATGTACCTGAACTCCTAGGTCTCTCTGTTCGACAATGCTACCCAGGGCCCTACCGTTAACTGTATAAGTCCTGCCCTTTGTTTTACAAACGCAATACGTCACATTATCCAAATTAAACTTCATCTGCTACTCCTCAGTCCATTGCCCCGATTGATCAAGATCCCTTTGTAATCTTAGATAACCTTCATTACTGTCCACTATACCACCAATTTTGGTGTCATCTGCAAATGTACCAACTATTTCTCCTAAATTCTCATCCAAATCGTTTGTATAAATGACAATGGACTTAGCACTGATCCCTACGGAACACTGCTGGTCACAGGTCTCCTCTGTCTCCTACCTTCAAACCAACTTTGCATCCAATTGGCAAGCTCTCCCTGAATCCCCTGAACATTGTCAGAGGCTTTAGTAAAGTCCATGTAGATAACGTCTACTGCTCTGCCCTCTTGTATCTTCTTGCTCATGTCTTCAAAAAGACTCAATCAAGTTAGTGAGACACGATTTCCCATGCACAAAGCCATGTTGACTATCCCTAATCAGCCCTTGCCTTTCCAAATATATGTAAATGCTATCTCTCAGAATCACCTCCAACAACCTGCCCAACACTGACATCAGACTCACCGGTCTATAGTTCCCAGGCTTCTCCTCACAGCGTTTCTTAAATAAGCCCATGTTTGAAAGGAAACAATAAGAAATGTAGACAACATCATGAGAGGAATGACAACTTGGCACAAATGAGACGTAGATACAGAGATGAGCGTGCAGTGATGAGAAAGGATGAGGTCAGGAGCTAATGGGTCAGTGAGGACTGTGCAGGGAAATGGCAGAAAACAGATTGGTTCTCTGTGGCGGACAGAGAGAGGGAGGAAATGGGGCAAAGTGAGTGATGGAGATGTGACTGCCAGGGAAAGGAGAAAAGGTTGGCCAACGATTAGGTGAAAAGATGTGGTGGGGTCAGACTTGAATGCAGCAGACTGGAAGAGGAATGGATGAGTGATACGAAGGGATGGAGAAGGGTAAACAGCTAGGATGGCGGAGATGCCAGGCACTGAAAGAGGAGGAAGCCATTCAGTCTTTCAAACCTGCTCCACCTTCAATTTGATCATGATCAATTGCTATTACTGACCATATTCCTCACTAACCCCTTCTACCTTTGAATCCTACAAGGAACAAAGAACAGTACAGCACAGGAACAGGCCCTTCCGCCCACCCAGCCTGCACTGACATATGACACCTTTCTAAACTAAAAAGCTCGGGCCCTTACATGGAACTCCTTTAATTATTTTAAATACCTCAATTAGAGCACCACATAGTTTTTTTTTCTTCTTGGAATGTGGGTATCCCTTGCTTGATCAGCATTCACTGTCCGTCCTAATTGCAACGGCAATTAGGAGTCAACCACATCGCTGTGGATGTGTAGACCAGACTGGATAAGGACAGTAGATTTCCCTCCCTAAAGAATGTGAACCAGATGGGTTTTTAGGACAATCAACACTGACTACGTGGTCACCAATACGCCAGCTTTTTCTTCCAATGACAGCCTTTGAAGTCATCTTTCCGAGAGCATGAGCATGGGATCATGAACTCCTAGTCCAGTGGCATTACCACTACACCACTGCTCCACCCTCAATTTTCGTCATTGCAAGAAACGCAAGCTTGGTCCATACAAGCTGTACCCATAATTTAACTCATTTGCCTCAAAATGTCAAGTACAGTTTGCACGGAAACCAAAAATCTACATGAATCTAAATGCTGGCTGGTTGGTAACTACATTTTTACCCTGAGCTTCCCCCACCAAACACCAATGCAGATCCCCTGACCAGTTTGGCTTTTTAGCAAACTGGAGTCATTCACTCAATCATAGAATGCCAGAATCCCTACAGCGTGGAAGCAGGCCAGTCAGCCCTTCGAGTCCACACTGACCCACACACCCAGACCCACCCCACTATCCCATCCTTGCAACCTGGCGATTCCCATGGCTAACCCACCTAGCCTGCATGTCCCTGGACACTACGGGGCAATTTACCACAGCCAATCCACCCTAAGCTGCACATTCTTGGGCTGTGGGAGGAAACCAGAGCACCTGGAGGAAATCATGCAGTCGCGGGGAAAATGGGCAAACTCCACACACAGTTGCCCGAGGGCGGAATTGAACCTGGGGACCTGGTGCTGTGAGGCAGCAGTGCTAACTACTGAGCCACTGTGCTGCACATTGCCCAAACTATGTATATTCCCCCATTCGGATCTTTACCTTCAGCCACTTTCCCTTCTATGCAATTCCGTGTCACCGATGACCTCTTCAGCTGCTCTGCGGCAGCTTTCTTCGCATCAAAGCCTGCTTCCCTCAGCCGCTGCAGCTCCTGCCCTAGTGCCAGGGTGGTGTTATACTCTGGGGTGGCCAGGGGAGGGGCCCCATGGTCCTCCGCACCACCCAGGAGCCCTCCCTGCTTCGGAGGTTTGCAAGCCTTGCTTGGTCTGGCTGCTTTGATTGCTCTGGTCTTCCATGAGTCAATGTGGTCTCTGGGGCCTTTATCCTTGCGGTCGCTGGAGACAATGGAGGATGGATTGGTCACAGTCTGAACATTTGATTCTGTCTCCTCGGAAGCCAGTTCCAGAGCTGTGTCCACAGCCCTTGTGCCCTCCTCCTGGCGATCTGGGTCATCTGAGATTAAAGCTTTCTTGTCAGAGCCCTCTGAAGCAGAGCCAGTGTCAAACCGTACCTGCAAGTGGAAAGAAATTTGGATTTCTAAAACTGGACGTTGCACAGTCAGCAGAAGGCCAACTCTCCAACCCGCATTCTGGCCCAGGTTCTCACCCACGGGCACACACAACTGCGAGACTGCAGGCACCGGTCTCTACACCATACTGCCTGTCAATCGAAGTGACAACAACCACATGACCAGCACACCTTCGCTTGCTCAGACATCTGGTGTTCAATGTTGAGGACTTCCATCTGGAAAGCCAGCCCTTAGATATCTTTCTCACTGTGGGAATATCGGGATATTTTCTGAGAAATGGGTAGGGGTCGAGAGTTAGAAAGAAGAAATATAGTGCAAGAGGGATCAATGCTGGAGGTGAGTGGATGTTGGCGGTGGGTATGTGTGTGTGTTAACATATGCAGACACTTCCTGCTAGCTTCTTCCATAACAAATGACCATGCCTGCATTGCCAAAGTAAACTGCCTGTGTAAATTTAACACATCGTATTACACCCTTTCTGCAGTGGCAGTGTTGTGGCACCACCACTTTTGGAAGGTTGTAATTACAAAGTGACATGTTTGCATGGGTCAATTCCACTGATAGGTGGCGTTCTTAGAATTTATAAAGGGGCTACAGCCAGAATGACAATACAAGTCACTTCAAACTGGGGATGTGACTACATCTGAGTGACCTAGTAAAGCCATCTTAAAACACCCATCTCTGATCACTACATCTTGCCTTAACTTGCAGTACAAAGCAATACAGGAGTCAGATTGAAACACAGTTTCAAGAATCAAGTTTGCGTTTTGCATTGACTGAGAAAGGTGTTTGGTACGCTTACCTTTATGGATCAGTGCATTGAGTTTAGGAGTTGGGAGGTCATGTTGTGGCTCTACAGGACATTGGTTAGGCCAGTTTTGGAATACTGCATTAAAATCTGGTCTCCCTGCTGTAGGAAAGATGTTGTTAAACTTGAAAGGGTTCAGAAAAGATTTACAAGGATGTTGCTGGAGTTGGAGGTTTTGAGCTATAGGGAGAGGCTGAATAGGTTGGGGCTATTTTCCCTGGAGCGTCGGAGGCTGTGGGGTGACCTTACAGAGGTTTATAAAATCATGAGGGGCATGGATTGGGTGAATAGGCAAGGTCTTTCTCCCAGGGTCGGGGAGTCCAAAACTAGAGGGCAAAGGCTTAAGGTGAGAGGGGAAAGATTTAAAAGGGACCTAACAGGTAATATTTTCACGCAGAGGGTGGTGTGTGTATGGAATGAGCTGCCAGAGGAAATGGTGGAGGCTGGTACAAATACAACATTTAAAAGGCATCTGGATGGGTACATGAACAAGAAGAGTTTAGAGGGATATGGGCCAAATACTGGCAAATGGGACTAGGTTAATTTTGGATATCTTGTCGGCACAGACTAATTGGATGGAAGAGTTTGTTTCCATGCTGTTTGACTCTATGACTGGAATTAATTTTGTTCAAGGAGAAAATAAAATCAAACAGAACTGGAATGGCCCTGACCAACACTAATAGGCTCCAGTCAATTGGCAGTGCTGTGGAATAAATCTCTGAAGTTCTTCTCGCAAGTCTACAAGTGTCTGGTGCATACCAAAAGTTAAAGCCCATCGATAATTACTTATAATTACACAATCTCTGGGGATGGCACAACCATATAAATTACGGATGCAGTGACTCTGATGGGCAGAATGGCTTGGTTTGGCTCAGCATCTGTGTAATGTCTCTAGGCTGCAACAGTACTAAGGGTTTGAATTACACAATAGAGTCATTGATAAATTAAACGCGTTACTCAGAGTGGGAAGAATGTGGAACTCATGACCACAGGGAGTGGTTGAGACAAATGGTCTAGATGTGTTTAAGGGGAAATAAACCCATGAGGGGAGGAGAATTAAAGACTGAAGGTGGCAGGAGCTTGCATGGAGAATGAACACTAGGGTGGACTACTCGTTCCTGCACAGTCAATACTGAGCAAGTGAGCAGCCTATTAACACAGCGGCAAGACCCACTGAATGCTCCATGCGAAATGGGCGCAGCACGAACCTCCCTGCCCGGGATCTAAGGAAATCACAGACCATACTGAGATGCTCTACAAGACCAACACCAAACACTCAGAGCTTCAGTCTGGGCCATGATCCTGACCGCGTGCAGAGTTCAAGGTTCACTGGGAATGCGTATTGGTAATTGTGTGTGTGTGTGTCTCTGGTTGGTGTAAATATTGGCTAATGGAAGGGAGTCACCAGAATGCATTAATATTGCTCAAAGGGGAATGGGTCTTAGAAACGTGTTAGCATCAGGTGGGGAAAGGGGGTCATTGGAATGTGTTATTATTGCCCAAGGGAAGGGGGCAATCTAATTACCTGCCGCCTGCTGACTCTCCCGCTCGCCACATCGCCACCCGGCCCCTCTCGCTTTTTCAGTATTCCCACGGATTTTCCGATCTTGTCTGGTGTCAGGGATACATCCAGGTCAGAGAGGGAGTCCACCCGAACTGGCTCTACATCCAGCGGTCTTGGCACTGCCCGAACAGGGAGACTGTCTTCATCTGTGTAGTTTGGAGGGGCATACATCTTTCTCAGGAAGGTCAAGGCGTCTGTCTTCATCTTCAACAGCGATGAGTCTGAATGCCTGCCATCACTGGAAGAAGGACAGGTTAATATAGCTCTCACCTATCCAGTCCTCCTACAACAAAGCCTGCGATAGGGTTAGGGTTAGAGATGTTAATAACCGATGACAGATAGCTTACCATCATGGGGTGAATAGACAAGGTCTTTTGCCTGGGGTGGGGGAGTCCAAAACTAGGTTTAAGGTGAGAGGGAAAAGATTTAAAAGAGACCCAAGGGGCAACTTTTTCACTCAAGAGTGTGGTGCGTGCGTGGAATGAGCTTTCAGAGGAAGTGGTGGAGGCTGGTACAATTACAACATTTAAAAGGCATCTGGATGGGTACATGAATAGGAAGGGTTTAGAGGCACATGGGCCAAATGCTGGAAAATGGGACTAGACTAATTTTGGATACGTGGTCAGCATGGACGAGGTTTCTGTGCTGTATGACTCTATGATTGGAATTATTTTTGTTCAGGGGAAAATAAAAGCAAACTGAAGTGGAATGGCCTGGACTAACGCAAAAAACTGGAGCACCCGAAGGAAATCTATGCAGACATAGGGAGAACATTACAGCTCCACGCAGACAGACACCCGAGGGTGGAATCGAGCCCGAGTCCCTGGTGCTGTGAGGCAGCAGTGCTAACCACTGAGCCACCGTGCTGCCCAGGCATCTGACCTCCTTATGAACTCAACCGTACTTTCCACCATCCACCACCCATGACCTTTGACTCCCTTGTTTAATTAAGAATCTATCTTGGAACATTCAATAGCCTGCTGTGTCTACTCTGTAGGAAGAGAATTCCACTTATGAATGACCCTCTGAGACCAATAAAATTCTAGGAAAAGTGGCCCCAGCCTATTCAGCCTCTCGCTATAGCTCAGACCCTCCATCCCTGGCAACATCCTTGTAAATCTTTTCAGAACCCTTTCATGTTTAACAACATCTTTCCTACAGCAGAGAGACTGGAATTGAACTCTGTGTTCCAAAAGTAGTCTAACCAATGTCCTGTACAGCTACAGCATGACATCCCAACTCCTATACTCAACACACTGACCAATAAAGGCAAGTGTACCAAACACCTTCTTCACTATCCTGTCTACCTGTTAGAAACAATGAACCTGCACTCCAAGGTCTCTTTGTTCGGCAACACTGCCCAGGACTCTACCATTATGTGTACAAGTCCTGCCCCGATTTGCCTTTTCAAAATGTAGCACCTCACATTTACCTACATTAAACTCCATCTGCCACTCCTTAGCACATTGGCTCATCTGATTAAGGTCCCATGGTACTCTGAAGTAGACTTCTTTGCTGTCCACTACAGCACCAATTTTGGTGTCATCTGCAAACTTACCAATCATACCTAATAAAAACTGAAAGAACTGCAAATACGTATCATCAGAAAAAACAGAAATTGCTGGGAAAGCTCAGCAGGTCTGACATCATCTGTGGACAGAAACCAGACTCAATGCTTTGGGTCCGGAGACCCTCCCCAGGACAGTTCTGAGGAAGGGTCACTGGACCCGAAACATCAACCTGATCCCTCTCCAAAGATGCTGCCAGACCCGCTGAGCTTTGCCAGCAATTTCTGTTTTTGTTAGTAACCTTACCTCCCTTATTCACATCCGTCACATGACAAAAAGCAGTGGACCCAGCAACAATCTTTGCACCACACCACTGGTCGCAGCTCTCCAGTCTGAAAAGTAACCCTGCATTACCACATTCTGTCTCTTACCTTCGAGCTAATTTTATCCAGATGGCCAGTTCTGCCTGTATTCCATGTGATCTAACTTTGCTAACCAATCTACCACGAGGAACCTTGTCAAATGCCTTACTGAAGTTCATACAGACAACGTCCACCACTCTGCCTTCATCAATCCTCTTCTTTACTTCTTCAAAACTCAACCAAGTCAGTGAGACACAATTTCCCACGCACCAAGCCATGTTGACTATCTCTAATCAGTCCTTGCTTTTCCAAATACATGTAAATCCTATCCCTCAGAATCCCTTCCAACAATTTGCCCACCGTCGATGTCATCTTTCTTAAATTATGGCACTATATTAGCCAACCATCTCCTAGCACCTCACCCGTGGCTATCGACTATACAAATACCTCAGCAAGGAGCCCAGCAATCACTTCCCTAACTCACCATAAAACTTTAGGGCACACCCGAAATTTATCCAGCTTTATGTACTTTAAGACACCCAGCATCTCCTCTAAAATATGGAGGCTTTTCAAGATATCGCTATTTATTTCCCCAAGTTCTCTAGCTTCCATAACTTTCTCCACAGTAAACACTGATGCAAAATACTCATTTAGTACTCACCCATCTCTTATCCTTATTCACAGTTTTCTTAGAACTTACACAATCCTACCAAGTGGGCTTACTCAATCAGAAGTTAAATCATTCCCCTGATCCTGGGTTACTGAAGTTGATCACAGCCTCCCCCAAAACTGCCTCAGCACCAGGGACAACTGAGATCCCAGCAAAGGCTTTGAAATTAGCTGCTCAGAACATTTTTCTCACATTCAGGCAATAGTTGCTGTGATTACACAAAGGACAACAGAGGTAAGACCAGACAATGACTGCAAATGTTCAGTCAATATAGCAGAAAGGATGAAAGTTAAAAACGTGGAGCTGGGACAAAAACAGCCGTAATTTTGTCTCATGTGGGATGACAGACAACAGGACGTTTGGGTCCATTGAGATTATGTACAAAAGAGTGAGTGGAAGGAGTTTTGGTTCATTGGGATGGTGCACAATGGAAGTGAACAGGAAGGGATTTGGTCCTTTGGGATCACGTACGATGGACAATAGTTTGCCCCAAGGAACTCAAGTTGAATTGCTTGTTTGAACCTGGCAGTGCTGAACAGTGTAGTGAGAATGTGGTTAGCAGGACTACGTACAGAATCAGTGAATCCAGACTGTTGGTTTGCATGTTCCAGCTGGTTCTGCAGTGGAATTGCTGTACTCAGGGAAATGAAGCCTATAATGCTCCCACAGTCCGAAGATGCACAGGCTGGGTGGATTAGCCATGGGAAATGCAGAGTTACAAGGATAGGGGTAGAGGGGTGGGTCTGGATGGGATGCTGTTTGGAGGATTGGTGTGGATTCGATGGGCCAAATGGGCCTGCTTCCACACTGTAGGGATTCTGTGTTCTTAATGAATGATGATGATGCATGCTTGAGGGGCTGAATGGCCTACTCCCAATTTATATGTCTCCTTATACAGACAAACAATCACCCATTTAACGTGTTATTTAAATTAACATCGTGAGACATGTTACTAACTGACAATTCTTTTCTGGAACTGGTGGAGAGCTACCACCGAGACTCACAAAAACACAAACTGAGCAACAATGCCAATTGCAGATGATCAACTGACGACTCCATGTCCTTCATCTCCAAGGATCCCAGCCTCGCCACTCCCCACCCTAAGCCTTTGCAGACGTTTCCACAACAGCATGGTGGAAATAGACATGTCTAGAGAGCACTTGGGTCTTAGTGAACAGGACTGTGAACTGAACAACAACGGCCCTAAATAAGGAAGCATAAATTAGAGGGGATAACTTCAAAGTCAAATAAAATTTGGAAAGAAAAGTAATGAGGTGGGGAGAGAAGGCAAGATAATAGAAACACAAGAGGTGGTAAGATATTGTTTTGCAAATGATTGAAAACTGAAAGAATGAGATTACACCTGCAACAGTGATTGTTCAATGTTAAGAGAGGTAGATAGGTACCTATTAACACTTGTTCTGGCATTAAGACTTACTTTATAGAGGTTTATAAAATCACGAGGGGCATGGATGAGGTGAATAGCCAAGGTCTTTCTCCTAGGGAAGGGGGTGTTCAAAACTAGATGGCATGGGTTTAAGGTAAGAGGAAAAGATTTAAAAGGGACCCGAGGGGCAACTTTTTCACGTAGAGGGCGACGCATGTATGGCACAAGCTGCCAGAGGAAGTGGTGGAGGCTGATGCAATTTGAAAGGCACCCGGATGTGTAGGGTTTAGAGGGATATGGGCCAAACACTGGCAAATGGGACTAGGTCAGATTGGGATGTCTGATCAGCACGGGCAAGTTAGACCAGGGGTCTGTTTCCGCGCTGTATGACTCTACAACATAAATCGAAATGGACAAAACTTAATTTTCTTTGGTGGATTTAGTTTGTATCAAACTGTGCAAGTCCAAGAACTTGATGCTACTTGAAGCAAGCCAGTGGCAAGCAGTTGTTTTCAGCAAGGTCTAATTTTTGTGAAGTCGTTGTTGGAGCGTGCATCTCAGACAGCATTTCTGCATCTCTGTTCCTCAGCTAAATATCACACATGCATTGATAGCCCTAGCCTGGCTATTGGCCATTAAATTCAGGAATCAGGGTGACTTAGGAAAAAAACTCCATTTCACTCAAAAAGCCATGCAACGGGGGGAAAATATTGGTCAAAGATTAGTCACCAGAGCACTACAGTCACGTTCGATCTCCTGAGCTGCAGAGAGGGAAAGCAGCAAGGGGTCCTGCACCCAACCACCACCCAGGGACTCTCATATGTGTATCAGTGGAAAACAGGGTTAAGCATTGGCTGTGACGCTCTACACAGAACATAGTTTGCCCGTGCACTGTGTTAACAGAACGAAGAAATAGCACCACGAGTAGTTTATATCAGCCCCATCAGTAAGATCATGGCCGACTGAAAAACAGAAAATGTTGGAGAAATTCAGCAGGACCGGCAACTTCTGTGGGGTAAGAAACAGGGCTAATGTTGAGTCCAAAGACCATTCTTCGGAGCACGGCTAGTGTCTGACCTAAACTCTATTTGCACCTTAATCCCATGTCAGAAAGTCTTCCAATCCCAGTCTGCAACAGACGCAAAGACTGAGCACCAAGGGTCTGTGGGGTAGAGAGTTCCAAACAGCTTTACGAGAATGATTCCACTGATTAGAAAGTTCAGTAACGAAGATAAATTGGTGAAGTTGGGACTGCTTGCCTTAGAGAGGGTAAGGCCAGGAAGAGGAGATTTGATTGATGTTTTTAAAAACGTGAGGGGGAAGACAGAGAGCAACAATCCCTGCTCATAAACTGATCAAGAACAAGAATGCAATGCCTAAGAGGTGTGGAGGGGGCAAGTTCAATTGAAGCTTTCAAAAAGGCATTGGATGTTTATTTAAATAGATACCAAGGTGCAAGGGTATGGGGAAAGGAAGGAAGAATGGCACGATGCATATTCAAAGAGCCAGTGTAAACACGATGGGCTGAATGGACCCCTTTTGTGCCATAACAATATGGTGAATTAAGTTAATTAGCAAAAGAATCAGTGTGGGAGGAAAATAGAATTGTGTTATTTAGTTGTAGTGAGTGATTGAGAGCTCTAGCTTGCTGCTTGAGTGATGGAAACAGATTTAATAGGAACTTGCAAAGAGGCGCGGATAATTATATGGAAAAGAAAAATTGTACAAGGCTGTAGGTAAGGAGCAAGGTGGCAGAGCAGCACGGGGGTAGTGTGGTGTGTAACTAACTGGAGATCTTTTTCAAGAAGCCAGCACAGACACAATGGGCCAAACAGCCTCCTCCTGCATTTCTCAAAAGATGACGCTCTGGTAGTTTCTGAAAATGCAACATCCGATTTTGATTCCTGTCAGATTGTGAGTCACTCGTTTCTTTCCCCAAGGGGAGATTAAATAACTTTTTTTGTTTGCACTCAGGTCTTTATCGCAAAGAAATAAAGTTTAAACACATGCAGAAAGGGATCTGCACAATATCAGAGCAGAGGCTACAAAGCACAAATGAAATCCATTAGACCATGGAAACAGCCCTCAATCAAAAGCCCAGACCATGGTTTCCAGGTGTCTTCCTCCCCAAGCTGGGACTTAAATCACAAAATGGCAATAGCAGTGATGGAAACCATTTGGCCCCTTAAGTCTGTGCTGGCTCTTAGACAGTAGCTTAGTTAATCCTACTCCTCTGCAAGTTACTCATTGTCCTGCAAATATTTTCCTTCAGACAATGATCCAATTCCCTGTTTAAAAGCCTCAATTGAATCTACCTCCATCACAATCTCAGGTACTGCATTCCAGACTCGAACCACTTGCCATGTGAAAATGTTTCTCCTCATGTTCCCAACACTTCTTTCACCGATCACCTTAAATCTGTGTCCTCTCACTCTCAATCCTTCCGACAACGGGAACAGTTTCTCCATGTCTAGTCAGCTCAGAAACCTCATGATTTGATAAAATTTCCTCTCAACCTTCTGTTTTCTCAGATAAACAACACTAGCTTCTCCAATCTACTGCCAAAGCTAAAATCCCTAATCCCTGGAACTGTTCTCATTTATCTTTTCTGCATCTTCTCCGAAGAATTTATCTTTCCAGAAGGAACAATGAGGGAAAGGTCTGGCCCCTAGGACACCTAGAGGATCACCCACATTCCACTCTTCTTCCAAAAGTGGCCATGAGATCTTTCTGTCTCCACCCAAGAGGGATGCAGGGAACCATGTCATGTCTCAACTGAAAGGCAGCTCCTCAGGCTCTACAGCAGCATTCAGACATGTCACTGGAGTCAGAGGTTTCCTGCAGTGGGTTGCATCTGACTCAAGTGCGAGGCTGAAGCTTACGCTGACCACACCTCCCCACCACCTCCCTTATTTACACCCCCCCAATTCCCCTCCATCCCCATTCCCCTCTCCCATAACTTCCCTTAACTTTGCTGCCACGCCTCCCATACTTACCCATCACCTCCTTGCTATTCCACCCCCCATCATCTCTCTGCTGCACTCCCCCATACCTCCCATCTCCCTGTTATACCCTCACAGCTCCCCACCACCAGCTTCATACCCCACCCATCTAGCCTCCAACCTCCAACCTCCATTTGCCTGGGCATTCAAAGTCCACTACATTGCATGTACATTACAACACTCAGAGCACCATCAAGAGAAGCTTCCCTTTCTTCTGAAAGGAAGGTTGGTGGTGGGCGGGAGTACGCAGCAAACCCAAGATGCACCACCCACCTCCCCCCACAACCTGATCACTGCTGGCCAGGGTCAGGCAAACATTCTCCTTCTGGTCTCTTAGACTCACTCACCCCACCCCACAACTGTTATTGGTGTAATCATCTGTCGACCTTCTCCAACCTCCCACAGAGTCATAAAGCATAGAAACAGGCCCTTCAGCCCACAAATAGAAACAGAAATTGCTGGGAAAACTCAACAGGTCTGGCAGCAACTGTACAGAGAAAACAGTGTCAACATTTCAGGCACAGTGACCCTCCATCAGCCTACCACCAAACACCAAACTACACTGGTAATCCCATTGACAAGTTTGTGGTACACAGCCTATTATACGCTGGCATTTTAGGTGCTCATCCCGATGCTTCTTAAATGTTGTGAGTACTCAGGCAAGTGCGTTCCAAATATCTTAGACAAAAATATAGAGGTCTTGGTGTCGTGGTGCAATGATAACAACCTCTCTCTCATTGTTGGTAAAATAAAAGAACTGACCATTGACTCCAGAAAGAAAGGAGGAGAACACACGCCCATCTGCATCAACGGAGATGTCGTGGAGAGGGTTGAGAGTGTCAAGTTCCTAGGAATGACGATAACCGACAACCTGTTCTGGACTTCACACATAGATCTGATGGTCTAGGTAGCACAAGAACACCTCTTCTTCCTCAGGCAGCTTAGGAAATTTGGTATGTCCATTAGGACCCTCACCAACTTTTACAGATGCACCATTGAAAGCATATTGTCCGGGCACATAATGGCTTGATATGGCAACTGCTTTGCCCAGGACCGTAAGAAACTACAGAGGATTGTGTGCGCAGCCCAGACCATCACGGAAGCCAACCTCCCATTCATGGACTCAATTTACACTTCTCATTGCTGCGGAAAGGCTCTCAGCATCATCAAAGATCCCTCCCACAGCCTCTTCCGTCAGGCAGAAGATACAGAGGCTTGAATACACGTACTAACAGGTTCAAGAACAGCTTCTTCCCTGCAGTTATTAGACTGCTGAATTAAGTCTCTAACTTCAAGTAACATTGATCTTTGTTAACGTTGATCTTGCGGACAAGGAGCGGGCAGGTGGGACTAGTTTGGGATCATGGTTGGTGTGGACTGGTCGGACCGAAGGGTCTGTTTCCATGCTGAATGACTATGACCTCCTGTGCAGTAGAACAAATGCCTCGCTCTATCTAAGCGCACTACACTCTCTATGTCCTTGTTTGCTATGATAAAATCTGGAGTGGGTGAATGCAAAACTAGAGGGCATAGGTTTAAGATGAGAGGGGAAAGATACAAAAGGGAGATAAGGGGCAACTGTTTCATGCAGAGGGTGGTGCGTATATGGAATGAGCTGCCAGAGTAGTGGTGGAGGCTGGTACAATTATGACATTTAAAAGGTATCTGATGGGTACGTGAATAGGAAGGGTTTAGAGGGATATGGACCAAATTCTGGCAAATAAGACTAGATTTACACAGGATATCTGGTCACTGTGGACAAGTTGGAACAAAGTTTCTGTGCTGTGTTATCTCTATGACCCTATCTGCCTGTACTGCTCACAAAACAAAGCTGTTCACTGTACTTAGGTAGAGTGACAACAATAAATCAAATCAAATATCTGGAGAAAAAACAAGTTTGATCTCAGATCTCCTCTAACTTTGTTTAATATATTCTCATCAGTGGTGTGACCCTTTGGTGTTTTACTTATAAATTCTGTGTCTGATGCCACCTCTCTCATGAACACCGAAAGAAGGTACTGAGCTCCGAAAGCTTCTGATTTTAAATCAGCTTGTTGGGCTATAACCCGATGTCGTGTGACTTCTGACCTTGTCCACCACCACTGGGGGGGGGGGGGGAGGGTGGGAGACAGGAAGGTGGAAGAGGAGGAGGAGGAGGAGAAGGAGAAGGAGAAGATGATGGCCCAGTATTACTACTGGACTGTTAATCCAGAGATTCAGCTAATGTTTTGGGGACCCAGGTTCGAATCCCACCACAACAGATGGCAGTATCTGAATTCAATGATAATCTGGAATTAAGAGTCTAATGATGACCATGAACCCGTTGTCAATTGTTGGAAAAACCCATCTGGTTCACTAATGTTCTTTTGGGGAAGGAAACTGCCATCCTTACCGGGTCTGGCCTACATGTGACTCCAGACCCACAGCAACGTCGTTAACTCTTAACTGCCCTCTGGGCAACAAATGCTGCCTGGCCAGCAACACCCAGGAATGAATTAAAAAGAACCCCAGTCCACCACCAGCACCTCCATATCATCACCTCTTACTCCTCGCCTTGAACTTGGACTTTCTGGTCTGGCATGGGGTAAAGATTCTCACCACCTGTCTATTCTGTGCCTCTCACAATTCTGTCTCCCTCCATCCCCTCTGCCCCAGGGAATATTGTCCTCCCTCCCTCCTCATTGTACCCAGAAACTGGTAATGATGCTCCTGTTAACACTAGTGTTTTATAAAGAGGTACATTCCTACTCCCAGCCCCACTCTCTGTCTCATTTACCTCAATCTGTCGCCATCTCGTGTCTTCCCCCTCACCTTAACCCCCTCGACCTTTGACCCAGCCGCTGGCGGACAACCTCTTATTTTCGACAACGCGATCTCTTCCAAATCGTCAAAACACAGTGATATAGGGAACCCGGGGGAAGGAAGAAGGCGCTGCACTTACTTTTCTTCCCCACTTCCCCGTTTAATTTTTAAAAAGTTTTAAAAGTCGTCGCCCCGGCAACGGCGGGAGGCCAACCGTCGCCCGAGACACAACGTCACGGGATTAGGTGGAACCTGGATATGACGGACAGCAGCGGTGACCAATCCGAGGACCGGACCTGCGATGATGCGAAGACGACTGCCATTCCGCGCGGGATGGCGGATGACGGGCAGCTGCGGTGACCAATCGGAGCTCGAAGGGCGGGACCACAGTGATGGTAGGCGGATAGGCATATCCCGCGCCGATGGCAAAGACTTGCATTTCTATAGCCCCTGCCACCAGATCAGGGAGAAACACCACCACCTCCCCACAAAAGATAGTCTACACTTCTCTTGAGGCACCCCTTTTCAAGTGCAATCGATGCTGCAATGCCGGAAACTCAGAGCAGACAATCTGTGCACAGCAAGATCCCACATAGTCCAATGTGCTCCGGATGTCGATTGAGGAATTTGTATTAGACCTGGGAGACTTATTCTCTCTCTCTCCCCCACCCCCACCAGTCTTCAATAGCAGGCCTGGGATCCTTTACAAACCCCAGGAGAATGGTGCACCAGAAGGTGTACAGTTTCCCCCCTGCCCCACTCTGTACCCCTAGGAAAATGCCCCACCCTAACTATTAATGCCCATTTGGGTTCAAAGCAGGAGCTGCAAGACAACCTCCATAAACAATGCTGTCGTAGGTCAATAATGAATGATGAGGCCGGTTCCAAAGGGCATGTTCTATTCCAGTTTGGTAAGACTACCCCGACTGTGGGAGTTTACTCGATTCCCATGGTGCAGAAGACGAGTCACCGTCTCTCCCTTGCCCCCCCCAAGCCTCCCTGACCTCCAGGTCTCACTGCTATCCTGTGACAATCAGTAGGAGAAAAAGTTCAACCTGCAAGGAACAGAAGCCTCAGATAACTGGATGAACCCATGTCATCTGGAGTTGAGCCTAGAAGACATCCCAAGAATCCACAGCCTCAGCTGGAGTGAGTATTGAGCTGTGCACCACTGGATTCAGTTACGAGAACATGGTCGCCCAAGCTTAACCTCTCATCAAAAAGGCAACACTCTTGACAGTTCCTGCCCCTGTACTGATCTGACAGTGCATCAGCCTAAATCACGTTCTGAAATCACAGGAATGAAACTTCAAAGTCACAATCTTCTGGCTCAGAGATCTGAGGCACAGCTAACATCTACATCCTTCCGTCCATGATGCAGATCATTATCCCAAGATAATTAAAGGTTGTGTCAATGTATTATCTTGGGATAATGATTTGAAAGGAATCTGAATTTTACATTTTAATCAGTAGTCTCCTGATTAAAGAATCAACCAGAGGCCACTACCTTCCTGCTTATAAATTGTGTCTTGTATCCTCTCTCTCGCACTCGGCTTGAGGAAGGAGCTGAGGATAGAAAGCTTGTGTTTTCAAATAAACCTATTGGACTATAACCTAGTGTCATGTGATTTTTTTGACCTTACCCTTCCATCCAGAAAGACTAAGGACCCTGTATCCTCATCAAAATCACATTAAGAAATGTTTGAATAACAATTCCTAATTTTGTACTTGTAAAGCTTGAAGCCCGTTAGAAGTCCACTCGATGCATAGATCACCTTTTGACATTGTCTCTATACCTACTTGTGGAGTATGTGAACCAATGTCCCCTGCACTGAGCAGCTGCAACGCCGGAGAGAACAGAAAGAGATTAAGAAGTGTAGTTGCTGTATCAGAAGAGTGGATGATATTCAAGGGCAGATAAATTCAGATACAAATTGAGCAGATTCCCAGTGAAGGTAAAAGAGCCCTGTTCCAAAAGGAACTACAAGTTTTATTCAGTCAGAAGGATTTGGTATTGTGGACTGGGATTGATATTACACACAGGATTTCAAAACTTGCAACCTCTACTACTGCAAAGGACAAGGGAATCAGATACATGGGAACCAGGAATGTAGGGTTTGATATATAAGGAGCGGCTGGGTAGGCTGGGACTTTTTTTTCCACTGTAGCATAGAAGGTTGAGGGGTGACCTGAAAGAGGTTTATAAAATCATGAGGAGTATAGGTAAAGTGAGCAGCAGGTGTCTTTTCCCTAGGGTTGGGGACTTATTTTTAAAAAGTGACAGGAGAAAGACTTAAAAAAAAAAAAGGGTGACTTTCTTGTTAAAAAGTGGTTCTTATGCGGAATGAACTTCCAAAGGAAGTGGTGGATGCGAATACAGTTACAATGCATAAAAGACATTTGGATAAATACATTAGAAATGTTTGGAAGAAGGTGGGCCAAAGAGGCAGGTGGGACTAGTTTCGTTTGGGATTTTGGTCGTCACAGACTGGTTGGACCGAAGGGTCTGTTTCCTTGCAGTATGAATATGACGTCCACCTGCAAGCTACCCTCCCAACCACACACCGTCCTGATTTGGAAACATATAATCACCGTTCCTTCATTGATGTTGGGCACGATCTTGCAACTCCTTCCCTAACAGCATTGTGGGTGCCCCTACACCACACAGACTGCAGCGGCTCAAGGCAGCATTCATCACCACCTTGTCAAAGGCAAGTGGAGACTGGATAGCCTAGTGATCCCCACATCCTATGAAAGAATAAAAGTAATGTAGCTATCTTCCACCGATGGCATTTTGTTGGAGATGTAATCCTGTGTTTATTGAGAGAACATGTTGCATTTCCCATTGTGTTCTGGGTGCTGCAGGTTGTGGAGACTTAAGTAGATGCTGCACAATTAGTTTGCTGTAAATAACTTGTTTGCCTCTAATGCATTGACAGACAGATGTGGCTGAGGTCCATCATATTTTTTGAGGCAATGCACTCTCAGTTTAAATTCTGACTGTATAAACCAAGGAAGGAAGAAGTAACCTCAAAAAAAATCAAATGTTTCCTCATTCCTGACTGGGGAACTGCTAAATAGGAACAGGAGTACACCATTCAGCCCATTGAGCTAGCCTTGCCAATCATGGCTGATCAAACACTTGAATGCCTTTTGCCCACTCCACCATCACGTCAATGAAAGAGGCCAGCCCTGTTACCAACAGGCACTGCTGCCCATTCTTTGAAGGACACGAAATGGAGAGAGGTAGAGGTAGGGAAACGTCTTCTGCCATACTGTAAAATTCAGGCTGGAGATCTCAAAATTAGGGTGATGTATGTGTTACCAGCCTCCTCATCCACCATCACACACTGAAACGGGCCCATTAGGTTATCACCGTGCAGCCATTCCCCTTACAGGAACCATTGTGACTTTGGACCGTTATCGAGCGATGTTGACGCAGTGTGGTCCATTCGGCCCTTTCAGTAGGACCCACCCACTTACAGTGAGAGGTTTAATTCTTGTGGTGCCATCGTTTCACCCTTCCTGCTGATTAGGATCTCATCCTGCAGGGTTGGAAGCCATTTGATCTGTCAAATCCCTCCTACCCCTCTGCAAACAGAGCAATTAATCTTCTCACTATGTACTTCATCCAACCGCACACCTCCACCAGCTCTGGGAATAACACAGCTGAAGAACACAGTCATATCAGACAGCCATTCAGTCCCTCAGAACTATTCTGACTATAGAATACAAAGCAGCAGGCACTAGGACGAATTGAAGGTCATTACTTTTATTGTGAATTTATATTAATTAAAATATTCAATAGCAAAGCCTCTTCAATATATTTTTATCCCCAAATAGAAGGTGCTGGCTTTTCAAAGGTCTGAACTGGGAGACCAGGGGCACATCTCTCAGTGCAGGATCTGTGTGGTTTATAACTTAAAAAGAATCCCACCCCAAAACTCCGTACTCATGGCAATAAATAATTTATAGATTGTATATTTTATTTGCTGTGTGGCTGAAGAGTTCTCTCATGAGAAATGATTGTATGGCCCCAAGTCTCATTCCAACTCCAACACTCATTCCCAGAAAGTCTCACCCAGTAACTACAGTTACATGGACACCAGCCCCTGTCCCCCACCCCCACCACCAAGCTCAGGACCATTTGTTTTCATTGTCACTTCAGACTCACCCCTCCTCAGGTACCCACTTGGACAACAGCTGAACAAGGGGGTTGGGGAGAGAAGAGCTGAAACAAGTAAAACATTTAAACCAGGTTGCAATTCAGGGCATGGAGTGGGGCGGGGGGGAAGCAGGGCACGCCAGGGGCATGGAGGGGAGGGGGAGTGGGGTTGCCAGGGGCATGTGTGGGGATGGGGGATGAAGGCGAGCAGGGCACAGGGAGGGGAGAGCAGGGAGGGGAGAGTGGAGTGTGCACAGGGCATGTCTTGTATCCTTCCAAAAAAAAAAAAAATAAAAAACACCTCTGGCCTTCTAAGAACTTGGTAGGTGAACATAGCAGCCCGGTTAAAGTTGGGGGCTGGGAGGGGATCCCTGAGTGAGGTGGGAACGGTGTCTGAAGCTATGACAGTACCGTTTGAACTTCAGGAAGACAACCACCATCCTCCCTCCTGGAATTATTGTTACATTTCTCCATGTGCTTTGATCTTTCTTCCCTCACAAGCAGAAAAGGTGCAATGAAACTGGACTGCTTTCAAAATTTAAAACAAATATCTGAACAAATGACCAAGTACTTTTGCGATCTCCATTTGTTTCTTAAGAGTCACGGCTGGGGGGCACCGTGGGGCAGGAGGCAGTTTCGAATGTGTCGGGATGGGCAGACACTCGACACAACACAGCTTACCTCCGGTAACCGCTGCAGAACACCGAGCCTGCTGAACACGCTGAGTGCATGGTTTCGCATGTGCAGGGCAGGTTAGGAGGGGCAGTGTGTGCCAGCCACCCTGTGCTAACGGCACCTTCCCCCAGATTGCTCAGTTTGTCGTCTGAGGTAAGCAGATAGACCATCTTGTCATCAGGGGCATCCCTGTTGCTGGCGATGTTGGTGGCGGTCGGGAAGGTGTGGGGCTCAAATCGCTCCCCCACCCTGCACATTCGCCAGAGAAACCACCCCCCCCCAACCCTACCCACACGCCCCAACGGGGCCAGGTGTACGGTGCCCTCTGAGATGTCACCCCGTGCGGAACGTTGGGAACGGGCGAACGCTCACAATCGCTGGCAGACTGCCCGCACCCCTCTCCTGACACCACAGCGGCCCCTGCCCCCACTCCCACAGCCGGTTCGATCCCCCGCCCCCCCAGTCTTTCCCGACGGCTAGTCACAACTGGGTGGCGGTGTTACCCGGGCTCCAGCCCTGCCCGCTGCCCTCTGCGGCAATGCCCCTCGCCTTGGTGCTCGTCTTGGGTTTGGGCGGCCAGTCGGGATCCACCAGCAGCTCCTGGGCTAGCCGCTTGTACTTCGCCTTGGGGGGATGGCCTCCGTGACCCCAGAACCTCCTCCCACAGCTCAGCATCGCAGGGTCCATGTCCAGCTGAACAGAGAGAGAGAGGGAGAGGGAGGGGGAGAGAGAGAGACAGACACACACACACATTTTGAAACGGAATTGACCGGGGGTCAAGGAACGAGCCTGTGACAGCTACATGCTTGAGTGCAGCCATTCGGCCCCTCTAGCCTGCTCCACCATTGATCCTGGCTGACGCGATTGTGGCCTCAAACTCAAGGACATGCATGTAAGGCGAGAAGGGGAAGTTCCAAGGACAAGATTTTTTTTGACAGGTGAGTGGTAGGTGCCTGGAACACGCTGCCAGAGGGTGGAGGAGGAGGCAGATACAATATGGCTGTTTAAGGGGGTTTTTAGATAAGCGCATGAATATGCAAGGAATGGAGGGAAATGGATCATGGGCAGGCAGAAGGGATTAGTTTAACTTGGCATCATGTTCGGCACAACATCATGGGCCCATTCCTGTGCTGTACCATTCTATATTCTATAACTTCACTTTCTCACTGACCCCAATTACCTTTGATTCAATCGTTAGTCAAGAAACAACCCACCTCTAGCTTAAAAATATTCCATGACCCTGCATCCACCACTCTGGAGGCCAGACTCTCAATGCAGAGAAAAGATTTCTCCCCATTTTCATATTGGTCACCAGTTATTAAGATATACCTACATATGACTATGGTTCAGTCGACTGGCCCTGGCAAGAGAAGACTGTCCTCACAGGCACGAAGAAGATTGGACCAATATTTTCTGCAGAAAGGGATTGTCTCGATGGAACCTAACAGGAACCTAAAACACCGGGAGAGCAGTTGCAGGCTTAAGTGGCTGATCATTAAGAAGTGAGGAAGAGGAGAAATTCCTTCACTCAGTGATAAACCCTTGGAACTCTCTCCCCAGGAGTGTGGGTGCTCCACTGTTGAAGATTCCTAAGGCTCAGGTTGATGGATTTTTGGTCTCTTGGGGAATTGTGGGACAAGGGGTTTGGATTGGGAAAGTGGTGAGAGTCAGGTTACAGGGTAACAGTGCTGCTGGCTAATTGGATGGTTGTAAAAGGGTGGAAGGTAGCAAGAATGACAAAAGCTATATGGAATACGAGGGTGGAGGGACATTTATAGTGTCTAGATAACACAGGTGAGCACCCTGGGGTGCATCAGAGGTGGAGAGAATAAAAGGGTAGGCCAGAAACTTGGTAAAACAGGCAGGTTCTAGATAGGATGCTACAAGGATTGGAGGGTTTGAGCTACAGGGAAAGGCTGAATAGGCTGGGGCTATTTTCCCTGGACCATTGGAGGCTGAGGGGTGACCTTATACAGGTTTATAAAATCATGGGGGGCATGGATAGAATGAATAGTCAAGGTCTTTTCCCCTGGGTAGGGGAGTCCAAAACTAGAGGGCATAGGTTTATGGTGACGGGAAAGATTTAAAAGGGACTTAAGGGGCAACTTTTTCATGCAGAGGGTAGAGCGTGCATAGAATAAGCTGGAAGAGGAAGTGGAGGAGGCTGGTAAAATAACAACACAAAGGTATCTGGATGGGTATATGAATAGAAAGGGTTTAGAAGGGATATGGGCCAAATGGGACTCGATTGATTCAGGATATCTGGTCGGCACGGATGAGTTGGACCCAACGGTGCTATACATCTCTGACTCTATAACAAGAACGGGTGGTGGAGGGCTGCAAGGGATTGGATTTCAGAGTATGGAGCCCTAATGCCTGAAAACACAGGCGCTGGTGATGGGTCAGATGAGCCGTGATCTCCTGGAATGTCTCAGCAGACTCGGTGGGCTGAATGGCCTACTTCTAATAGTTCTATGGAAAGGCATGATGAAAGAAAGAGAGACATCGTCTCAGCAATCTGACAGGGTCACCAAAGGCACAAGAAGTGCCGTTTGGCAAACAGATCATGGCCATTTGGTGCTTCGGGGTTGAGCTGTTACAATTAGTCCTGCTTTTGGTAATGTGATGAGCTCAGCCATCTCCCAGCACTCGAACACACAGAAGAAGCCCCACAGTGTTCTGAGTCCACTGACTTATACTGAACTCCAGCCCTCCATAGAACAGGTGCTGGTATATCAGCCTCCTACCTGTGGGTAGTTGTTAGGGGCAGGATGCCCATCATAGCTTCCACCGCAGAGATTCCTTAGCCATTGGAAGCTGTAGTCACACAAGAAATTCTACAACAAAGCAGCAAGAGAACAGCAATTAACGAGGCCTATTTTGAACCACGCGCTGCAACCCCCACCTCACACCAAAAGGACGCAGCTTCTCACTGTGCCTCTTGGACAAAGACCATCACCCGAAACAGCCCATCATCAAGAATGCGGTGTGTACCATCTGCAACAACCAGGCAAGGCTCCTTCAACACCATTTCCCAGGCCCGAAACCTCCACCCACTTTGGGCATGTCACAACAAAATTTCCTCCCCTGAAACGTGTGTGTCAGAATCCTTCCTTCAAAACCACAGGGTGAAATCCCTGGAACTTCCTACACTAAGGGCACAGAGGGAAGCACTATCACTGCACGTTTCAAGATGTCAAACCAGCTCCATCTCCTCATGGGCGACCATGGTCAGATAACAACTACCAGCCTAGCCGCCGATATCCATATCTCAAAAACAAGAAACGGCTGTCTCAAGACCACAAGCTGAAGTCAGATGGACGTGACTGGTCAACTCTCTGTCAGTCACATCCAGGGCTTAGTGACTGGGATAGACTACATACGTCATTTCTACACTATAACTATCCTCCTTCAACTGCGTTTTGGCTGGAGAAATAACACTTTGCTGCTATGCCCTCTCTACGCCAACAGGGGAGATGGCAAAAATGGTAATGTCCCTGGACTAGGAATCCAAAGACTCAGTCTAATGCTCTGAAGACATGGGTTCCAATCTCACCATGGCTGAAAAGTCAGTATTAACAGGACACAGCAATTGGCAAAAAAAAAACTGGAGGTAAAATGTGGAAATTAATTCTGTTCAATTCTCTGCTTGAAAATGTCCATGAAACCAGTTTCTTTCTAACTTTCAAAAGGAATTTGGATGAATATCTGTCAAGGAACAAAAAACAGTAGAGCTCTGAAGAAAACCAAACAGTGCATTCAAAGAGAAAGCAATGACAGAATGGGCCAAACGGCCTCCCTTTGTGCTGTATCATTCTATCCCCACCCAGCCTTCAGCGACCATCAGTCCTAAGTCAGAACGTCAGCAGTAATCTATACTGAATCAGCACTCTATCCATTATTTTAAATATTCACTCCCTCCATCACACAACATAGAGCAGCAGTTACTGCACAAAATCTTTGGGAGAAACAGGATGACTTCGCTCCCATTCCTGGCCCCTCCCCCCACCAAGAGTGCATTTTCGTGGGGTTCAGCTACACCAGCACCCCTGTGCATTTTGGACACTGCTGGCAGCAGTGTGTACCACCTACAGAAACTTGCCAAGGCTCTTTCGACACCATCTTCCAAACCCACGACCACTACTAAGGGCGAAAACAGCACACACTATTCCCCGCAAGCTCTCCTCCGAGCCCCATACCGCCCTATCATGCAAATATGTATTTGATTTGATTCATTGTCACATATATCTAGGTACAGCGAAAAGTTTTGTTTTGTGTGCAGATCATGCCATACTAATAGCATTACGATAATAGAACAGAGCAAGGAATACAATGTTACAGCTGCAGAGAAAGTGCACAAACAGCGAGATCAACATTAAATTTAAAATTTGAGAGGTCATTTCAGGAGTCTAACAACAGCAGGGAAGAAGCTGTTCTTGAATCTGATGGCACGGATGTCTAAGGTTTTGTATCTTCTGCCTGACAGGAGGTTGGAAGAGAGTATAACCGGGGTGAGATGGTCATTGATCATGTTGGCTGTCTTCTTGAGGCAACGAAAAGTTTAGAGTCAACGGATGGAAGGTTGATTTGTGTGATGTACTGAGTTGTGTTCACAACTCTCTGTAGTTTCTTATGGTCCTGGGCAGAGTAGCTCCTGTACCAAGCCATGATGCATCCAGATAGATGCACCTTAGGAAGCATTCTATGAACATTGGTATCGCTGTTCCTCCAGTGTTCCTAGGTCAAAATCCTAGAGGTCACTCCCTAACTGCATGGTGGGTGTCCCTATACTACACAGACTGCAGCTCACCGTGACCTTTTCAAGGGCAACTAGGGATGGGCAATAAATGCTGGTCCAGCCATTGATGCCCACATCCCCTGAAAGACACAAAAAAAAAAAAAATCTTATCCATAAGACTAACAGGGATCGCAATGACACGACACAACCCTGCATCATACCCTACAGGTTTTATGTACAGGGTGACTATAATTGTACCCCTTCCCATCTGCAGGAACCTTGCCATGTTCCTCCTCCCAGCTCCAGGAGCAGGATGATCAGAGGATTAGATAGGGTGGACAGTGGGAGCCTTTTTCCTCAGATGGTGGTGGCTAGCACGAGGGGACATAGCTTTAAATTGAGGGGTGATAGATATAGGACAGATGTCAGAGGTAGGTTCTTTACTCAGAGTAGTAAGGGCGTGGAATGCCCTGCCTGCAAAAGTAGTAGACTCGCCAACTTTAAGGGCATTTAAATGGTCAATGGTTAAACATATGGATGATAATGGAATAGTTTAGGTTAGATGGGCTTCAGATTGGTTTCACAGGTCGGTGCAACATTGAGGGCCGAAAGGCCTGTACTGCGCTGTAATGTTCTATGTTCTATTAAGTGCACGTCTCACACTCACCTCCACCAGAACACAAAGGGCTATGTTGGCCAGAATTAAAAACAACATCTTGTTTCGCCAATCCGAAGGTACACAGACCAGCTGGACAGAAGGAACAAACAGAAAAGAGAAAAGAAAGACTGTTCAATTGTCAGGTTGGTACATTAATCATATGTAGAAATTCTTCATTAATCCTTGTTTATTCCCATGCACCACCCGGAGTTCAAGATGCTTCTCATTTTGCGCTTTGCTTCCTGAAGCAGTTTGATGTTGACCGGCTAATCAACTGCAGGGGCATCAAAGTCAGGTTCAAGCCCATAACCCGAGGCCTACATAGCGTGCTCTGTAGCACGGTTCACACTGGGGTGGCCATAAGGAGTGGGCATTCCGGCTATTCCCTCCAGCATGCCTCCTGTAACAGATTAACACACAGCACAGCACGGCAACATCTCCCAGGGTTGTAGCACTAAAAGGGGTTGGGTTGGGTGGAAGAGTAGAGAGCAAACATAGTTATTTTAGTAAGGGAGTTTCCAGAAGATGATAGTTTGGGGTCGGTGGGGGAGGGGGGATAGTTTGAGGTGACAGGACTGGATTGAAGAAAACATCTTTGTTGATGGCACAGGCACACGGCTGGGGAAAATTAATGTGAGCAGGATGTGTGACAGAGATCCCAAACAGTGCCCCCCAGCACCCACCATGTCCCACCAGCAACATTCCCCCCACCCCCAAGAAGCAAAAGAGACCACACACATTCACCAAAACACCCAACTTTACGAAGAAACCACATTGAAAGTGGGCGCTGTATTTTAGTCATACACTTTCCCCACTGGGCCTTGGGTTTGAATCAAGCCTCACAGTGTGGGCATTGTGCCTGGCCCAATAAATGTGGATCAGCCCCTAACCCTCCTCTCACCTCAAAGAAGTCATCAACCATGTCAATCGGGTACATCATAATCAGAATGATGAAACCATAAAAGGACCAGAATACAACCCATAAATAAATCTGAAAGAGAGAGCAAAATCAGATCATAATTTATTCCAGTCTGTAACTCACTCCCTCATACCTGCTATTCCATATATAAGCCACCATGAACGCCTCAATTAGATTGCAGTCTGTAACTCAATCCAGGCATGCTCACGGAGTTAGTGGCATGTAGTACAGTTTTACAGTAATGCATGAAACTGTGAAACGACAGCCTGGGGCTCACCTCCTCCTTGTAACGGAGACCGCAAGGTAGCTTTCAGCATAAGCATGCCCTCCCACAAGGCAGACACACTCTCACCAGTCCACAGCAACGTCACCCATTAGTGAGAAAAACCGATTGCAAGGGCAACAGGAGTGGGAATGGTCCGTACTGCGCATGCACCTCGAAACAATGTGGGGGAAGGGTGTGTGCGTGTGTTTTTGAGGGGGTGGGCGGCACAGGGAGGTGGTGTTGCGCTGATCTAGAATCATGTACATCTTCTGGATCTTTTATAGAACGTGCTTTGCTGTTAACAAAACACTTGCCTGGAGTGTGGACACTGCTGGAATAAAAGGTCAAGCAGTGCACAACGAGATCCCACAATGGCACTAATTGTGAGAAGCGTATTGGCCAGGTCACCAGGAGAACAGTCACCTTTCTTAATGAAGTATCCTTTGGAATATTCAATAGTACAACATAATAGCACAGAAATAGGCCATTCGGCCCAAATGTTCTATGCTGGTTGTTTGGGTCCATATTTCAGTCGCTTGGTAGATCCTTTCATTCTTTTCCCCGAAATCTCCTTGCCTAGTCTCCATAACAGTTATAAAGGAAGCTTCCCCTTCCTCAGTACAGCACCCCCAAGCACAGTGGCTGGGTGTCAAGCTACATCGGTCCTGGAGAAGGGGAGGACTGAGGGGCCTGACCCACGAGTGATTCAAACTGGCATCCCCCCCAAAACAGACAGATGCTCAACTCACAGTTTCTGTAGACAGGCTGTCTGAAGGGTCGTCCCTTCGAGAACACAAAAGCAACTGCCAGATACTGGCAACAGGAGACAAAAAAAAGTGTCGTATTTTGATAATTCGAGATATTGTGCTCATCCACTTCAGACTCATTGTGAAGTGAAACACTGGTGTTTGACAGCTGGTCCCCCTGGATCCTGTTACAAGCACTGCAGAAAGAGGACAAGTCACGTGCTGTTATTCGAAGCCTGCACCTTGGACGGTACAACAAATTAAACAAAAACAAAAAGACAAAGCAAAATCAAGGATGATGGTCATTTCAGCCATTGACCATCAGCATTGAGATACAAAGTTAAGCTCCCTCTACACTGCACCATCAATAATCCCAGGACAGGGACAGCTTGGGTCCAGATACAAAGTAAAGCAATAACAGCGTGGACCTGCAGGAACACAGCAGGCCAGGCAGCATCAGAGGAGCAGGAACGCTGACGTTTCAGGTCAGGGCCCTTCTTCATTTCTGCTTTCCTGCTCCTCTGATGCTGCCTGGCCTGCTGTGTTCCTCCAGCTCCACACTTTGTTATCTCTGACTCCAGCATCTGCAGTTCTTGCTATCTCTACAAAGTAAAGCTCCCTCTACACTGTACCCCATCAAACACTCCCAGGACAGGGACAACACAGACCAGTTAAGGTAAAGCTCCCTCTGTAATAAAAACAAAGTTGCTGGAAAAGCTCAGCAGGTCTGGCAGCATCTGTGAAGGAGAAAAGAGTTAACGTTTCGGGTCCAGTGACCCTTCCTCAGAACTCAGCTCCATCTGTAATGTCTGATTACTGTGCCTTAGGTCCGATCTCAAGGAGGAAGTAGAGATCTACGCTAAGGGAAACAGGGCGCACTGATTCCCCTGCACCATGTAGACCTCTGTAGTACAAGGAGGTAATTCAGCACCACCTTCTCCATATAATAAATGCTGACCCTCCCAGCAATGCCCAAGTTCTGTGAATTGTTTGCTGTTCAGCGACGGTTGCTGAGCATCTCTTACTTTGAGGAGGGGGTCCATGTTTCGTACCAGGGCTGTTCCTTAACCAGCAGGAAGGCCATGACCTGAAAGGCCAGCGAGAGGAGGATCTGCATCGACATGGACAGCAGCACTGGCACAGAGATCAGGCTGGATGGTGGTCTGCGTGGGACCAGCTCCTTCCAGGATGAATTCAGGCTCACTGCAAAACAAAATAGTTACATGGATGGATCCAGCTCCTAACCCTCCCCCAAGTGAACCCAACAACAGCTTCCACATCGACTGCTTCCTAGAGGTTAAAGGCTGGTTCCAGAGACCCTGAGTGAGGTGGTGGAAACGGGAGCAGTTCTCATATAATACTCCCTGTCCAAAACCAAGGATTCAAATTCGTCCTTCCCTTTTCAAGTTTGATGGTGGTCTTTAAGAATCCACTGCAAACCTTAGCATTTGGAGAGAAAAGCAAACATTTCCGGTTGCTTTATGGGAGATGGTGGTGTAGTGCTCCAAAGAAATCCAGGGGCCCCAGGGTATTCCTACGGGGGGGAATGTGGATTCAAACCTCAGCACAGCAACTGAAGGAGTTTCGATTCAATTCGTAAATCTGGAATCGAAAGCTAGGCTCAAAAATGATGGTCATGACAAATATCACCGATCGTTGTAAGAAACCCATCTGGTTCACTAATGCCCTTTTGGGAGGGAAATCTGCTGTCCTCACCCAGTCTGGCCTATACGTGACCCCAGACCCATAGCAATAGGGGTGACTCTTAACTGAGCTTAAACTGCCTGAGCGAGCCCCTCAGATCAAGGGGCAATTAGAGAGGGGCAACAAAGGCTGACCTCACCCTATCCCGCAAAAGGAAAAAAAGAAACTAGGTTTATGGTGAGAGGGGAAAGATTTAAAAAGGACCCGAGGGGAAAGTTTTGCACGCAGAGGGTGGTGCATGTGTGGAATGAGCCGCCAAGGGAAGTGGTGGAGGCTGGTACAATGACAACATTTAAAAGGCATCTGGATGGGTACATGAGTAGGAAGGGTTTAAGAGGGACATGGGCCAAATGCTGGCTAATGGGACTAGGTCAGATTGGAATGACTGGCCGGCACGGGCCAACTTGTTTATTTCTGTGCTATACAACTGTCTCTATAATTGTCGAAAAGATGCCCTAGCTGTAATCGGATTTAAGCAACTACGGAAGGGGAAGGAAAGAACAAATTCAAAAGTTGATGATAATATGGGGATACAAGAGAGATCAAGTGACAAAGAGATTTGAATGGAACAAGGAACAGAAGACAGTCTTAGGGGGATGTAAATAGTAACGGCAACATTGCCTTCAGCTGGTGTACAACAGCACATGGGGAGTGTTGAGTTTGGAAAGCCATCAAGTGCTTATCTGTAGAGATGAAGCGCTGTCTCTTGATATTAAGGCCATGGGTAGTGTTGTAGAACAGAGACACCTAGGGGTTCAGGTACATAATTATTTGAAGTTTGCATCACATGTAGACAGGGTGGTTAAGAAGGCATTTAGCACAATTGCCTTCATTTGCTCAGAACTTTGAGTATAGTAATTGGGACGGCATGCTGAGGTAGTACAGGATGTTGGTGAGGCCTCTTCTGGAGTACTGTGTCCAGTTCTGATCGCCCTGCTATAGGAAGGACATTATTAAGCTCGGGAGGGTTCAGAAGAGATTTACCAGGAAAGGAGGGTTTGAGTTATAAAGGAGCAGCTGGAACCTTATTTTTAAACTGGAGCATAGAAGGTTGAGGGGTGACCTAATAGAGGTTTATAAAATCATGAGGGGTGTAGATAAGGTAAACGCCAGGTGTCTTTTCCCTTGAGTGGGGGATTTCGAGGCTAGGGGGGGTTTTTTTTTTTTTTAAGGTGAGAGGAGAGAGAGATTTAAAAAAAAGACTTGAGCAGCAACTTTTTAAAAATAGAAAGTGGTTCGTGTGTGGAATGAACTTTCAGAGGAAGTGGTGGATATGGGTACGGTTACAATGTTTAAAAGACATTTGGGTAAGAACATGAATGAATGTATGTTTGGAGGGAAATAGGCCAAGCGCAGGAGGAGGGACAAGTTTAGTTTGAGAGCATGGTCAGCAGAAACTGTTTGGACCAAGGGATCTGTTTCCGCGTTGTATGAATCTATGACTCTATTCTATTTTCTTAGGACAGTGTAGCAGACCGAGGACAGAGAGAGAGCCTAAAACAAAGAATTCAAATGATCGGCCACCAGAATCTCAAGTGTCAGGCTTGCAAACTGAATGGAGCAGGTCCGCAAAACTGGGTCATCCTGTCTGCATTTGGGGATGTTTGGAAAAATGTTTTCATCCAGAGTGTGATGGGAATCTGGAACTCAGGAACTCACTGCACGTAAAGTTGGTAGTGGCAGAAACCCTCATAGCATTGAAGTGGTATTTATAGACGTGCCCTAGTGGTGCCAAGGCATTACAAGGCTATGGGGCAAGTGCTGGAAAATGGGATTAAAATAGTTAGGTGGGTGCTTTTGACCAGCACAGCTTAAATGGGCCAAAGGGCCATTTCTGTGCCGTAGACCTTTGTCTCTAGCACAAAGGAGGCCATATCGTGAGCCACGTATAGTAAACAGAAAGCCGTACATGTCAGTTGCGTTTCTCCTGGAAGGAGGGTTGTGGGGAGGAGACATGAAGGTGAAACTGCATGAGTTGAAAGGGTACACATTGCATCCTTGGTACTTGCATGGACTAGGGGGTGGTGTCAGGTCAGGGGCAAGATGTTAGTGTGTGTATGAACAACTTTGTGTTTCGTTGTGCTCCAAAGCCGCTCTCTTCCCCACTGCCCCTCACTGCATGGGGCTCAGAGGCAGAGGACTTTGCTCTGCAATCCCACGTGTGGTTCTGGTGGGTTTTCCTTCAATCAGCCTCTCTCCCTCTCTGTCTTGGTCATCAGCCGGATCCTGGACACTCTTTTGCTTCCTCAATCTCACCACTGGTCACAGGATGCCAGGTAGTGAGCTCGATCAGAGATCGTAACCCTTTGCCAGGAGCATATCACTGCCTCACTAACGGCTCGGAGGCAGGTACACTGGCTCCGAAGGAGCTGCGGTGAAGACCGACCAAGGCAGCACTTAAAGGCTTAAGTTACGAGGACAAGTTGCTGCATTTGGGATTGCATTTCCCAAATTATAGAAGGTCGAGGAATCTGAAAAGGTAAAAGGTTAGCCACAGAAAGGAACTGATCTCCTTGGTACAGAGAGTCTCGAACAAGGAGGCAGAGCCTTAAAGTTCAAGGCTATTCAGGGGTAATATCAGGAAGTAATTCCTCACACAGAGGGTAGTGTCATACAGTCATACAACATGGAAACAGACCCTTCGGCCTAACTTGTCCACGCCGACCAACTTTTCCAAACTAAACTAGTCCCACAGCCCTCTAAACCTTTCATATTCATCTACCTGTCCAACTACCATTAAAATATTGTAATTGTACTTGCATCCACCACTTCCTCTAGCAACCCATTCCACATATGAACAGCCCGCTGTGTGAAAAAGTTGCCCCTCATGTCCTTTTTAAATCTTTCTCCTCTCACCTTAAAAATATGTCCCCTAGTTTTGAACTCCCCCCACCCTAGGGAAAAGACCTTTGCTATTCACCTTATCTATGCCCCTCATGATTTTATAAATCTCTAGAAGGTCACCCCTCAACCTCCTACTTTCCTGTGAAAGAGGTCCCAGCCTATCCAGCCTCTCCTTACAACTCAGACCCTCCAGTCATGGTAACATCCTGGTAAATCTTTTCTGAATCCTTTCCAAAGTAATAATATCCTTCCTATCGCAGGAGAAATTTGGATTGCACTTCCCAAAAAGACTGGGAGTGAAATGAACTTCCAACACTATGACCAGGAGATTTTCGTTGGGTAAAAGTAGGGGGATAGTGAGTTAAGTGAATGGATGAGTTTGCGGGTTAGACAATGATGGAACAGATCCCTAAGGGCCTGCTCCTGTGTCAGGGTAAGGAACCCCTGTCTGATCTGTGCAGCCTTTTATACAATGCCAAAGGCCATGCCCTGCTTACTACTAACGCTGGGCTAAGATTAGTTCAGTCACCACTTGGCTGTGACCAAACCAACAGCTGAAAGTTCAGACAGCAACAGGGGATCAGGGGTTCAGCATTTGCTCAGGCCTCTGGGGGCCAAGGGCTACAGGTTTAGCTCCCGTCACTGATTACAGGCAAAGCTAGCTTTCTGAAAAGCTGCCATGAGCGGCCTGCCTGCTTGTCCCTTACTCACTTGTGAAGGCGATAGACATGATGATGGCCAAGTCGATGAACAGATACTGCACATCTCCCAGGTTACTCAGGGCCTGCAACCAAAGCAAGATAAAAAGCCACATCAGAAAGCTTAATTCCAATGCTAGCAGAAATCACTAGAAACATGTGGGGCGCAATTAATATCTTTATTCTAACGTACAATTTATTTGCATCCTACCCCATGTCATCTCTTATCCGACAAAACCCATTACCAGCCCTCTAACATGCCCTAAACCATTCCACACCCTCATTTCCCATGGCACCCCAGACCCTTCAGTTGATGCCACCCCCTCTACACACCTCCCAGGCAGTCCCTCATTTCTACTCCCTGACCAGGCCATTTGCCCCACCCTCCCTCCCTTCATGCCTCCCCCCTCTCTAATTCCCTCCTGTGCAGTTCCCCTACTGCCCTCCAGTACCCGCCTCCCACCACTCGGGCCATTACCCTGTCTCCACCACCAACTCTCAGCCTGGACAGTTGGCTGTTTCCTCTCTCCCCAATCTGCTCCCAGGTTGTTCCAAACTCCTCCCAGCTCTTGCCAGGCTGGGCTAACCCTCCAAACCAGTTCCTTCTAGTGCCTGCCCCCAATCCTCTCCACAAATCCTCTCCCATGTTTCACCCCACTCCCCACGCATCGCCTGACAGTGTACAGGTAGTTTTGCTATAACGTGTATTTCATCAACGTGAATTGGCTGTAACACAATCGATGAATAGTGGGGATAGTAAGTACTGCCGATGCTGGAGTGAGAGATAACACAGCGTGGAGCTGGAGGAACGCAGCAGGCCAGGCAGCATCAGAGGAGCAGGAAAGCTGACGTTTCAGGATGGGACCCTTCTTCAGACCCTCCTTCTAATGCTGCCTGGCCTGCTGTGTTCCTCGAGCTCCACACTTTTATCTTGATGTATAGTGGATGCTGTTTGGATAATGTGAACTTTCTGCTGTACAGATATAGTGAATTTTCTGTAGTGATTTCTCTATAACGCGATTTTCTATAGCGCAAGGTCACACAAGAACACAGCAATCATGTTATAGGAGAACTACCTGTACCATGTACATCTGCTGCACTGTAGTGCCCCATTCCACCACTCCCCGACATGCCCCTGTGCTGTCAACCCCGTCTATCCTGTGCCAGAACCATCCCACATTGTTTCATTTCCCTCCCTTCTCCCCCAAACGACTCAACTCCCCAGTCAGTACGGAAACGAGGCAACGTACAGAATAAAGCAGCAAGACGGAGAGGTACTGGATGATGCTGTACAAAGCCATGAATTTAAACACGCAGAACGAGGTGACCAGGGCAGCCCGACCCTCCCTGCAGAAAAACAAGCCATTAGTAAATCAGTCCAAGGCAAAGACCTGGAAACCAAACACCCCCACCTTCCAAGCCACTTTGAGAGCGCCGATGGAGGCGCTGAATCTACTTCTGCCCTATTACCTGATGAGATCCGGCACACAGGAAATGTCCGGTGTCTTCGAGGTGAAAGGTGATGCCACGGAAGCCTCCAGCTCCGAGAGGGAGATTCCAGCATGAGCTCGCTTCAGCGCCTGTGGAAAGAACACATCCACATTATGAGAGAAATAGACCATTCAGCCCAACCATGCAAGTCTCCCCCTAACCACCACACTGCACCTTTCCTTACATTGCTACTATTGAGAAGACCCTGAACCTGACCCAAGCTGATCCAGCATCCTCCTCAGATGTATCCAGACTATACCATTAGTAACTTATGGATGTGGGTGTCGCTGGCAAGGCCAGCATCTGCTGTCCAGGCCAGCATCTGCTGTCCAGGCCAGCA